CTCGAGAGCGAAAATAACCCGTTACGGGGCTGGTGGGTGCGTCAGGGCTAAAAATATCCCGGATAAGCTGGGGAAATGTATTTTCAACACACAGTTGCTTACAGGCGTGCTGCAGGTAGCGGGCACTCCGCTTGATGAGACACGCTTAAACCGAGAACGCACTTGAAAGCAAAAATAACAAAAACAAACAAAAAAAAAATCCCCAAGCTCTTCTTTCCGCAAAGCGTGTTAAACGCTTTCGGATTTCGCTCCCCCCGCAGGGCTCCCCCGGGTGTTGCTGCTCTGCCAGAGCCGATTCCCAGCCGGAAAAGCAAGGGGAGAGCTCGCACAAAAGCAAATTCCCCTTTGCCCAGTTTTCCCCAACGCATTTCTTGCAGCTCGACGGCGCTGCAAGGCTGCCTGTTTGCTCATAAAAGCCTATTTGTTCTGTTTAGAGAGCAAATATTAATTGCGTCTTGAAACGAGCGCCAGCTACGGCTGCCCACCGCCCCCCCGGCCGCCCGCCGCCCCTCCGACCCCACGGGCCACTTCTCCCCTCCCAGCTGCCACCCAGCCCCCCAGTCACCGGCACAAAGGGAGAGATGCTCCCCTCGGCCGAATTTGGCTTTATTAATCCCCTCGGTGCTGCCGCTGCCTCCCCGCTTAGCTCAGCCTCCTTCACTCCACCGTGCTTCATTAGGGAAGAAGCTTTTTCTGACCCACTCCATTAAAATAAACAAGAAAACAAACTCCTGGGAGGAGGCGGAGAGGAGCACCCGCCGTCAGGATGCAGCGGAGATGGAGGGATGCAGAGAGATGGCTAAATGTCGCCAGAAAAGCCGTGTTCCCCCTGTTCCAAAAGACAAAAAGCAAGTTTTGCTTTGATTTCCTAAAACAAAACGCTGGGAATAATTTGCTGCCCTTAGGGAGCTGGGGGCGGCGGGTCCCGTCCAAAGGAGGAGCCGTACCCGAAGCAGCCCTGCACCCCGACCGCTCCTTGGGGGATGCTCCAATCGCTCTTTTTCCTTCCCCAAAGGCATCTCCAACCAAACGGAGACACGCACAAAACCAGAGCAAGATCTTGGCCTGCTGCAACAGCAAGGGAAACCCCCGTGGCTGCAGCCGCCTCTCCCAGCGCCGGCGTGCCGGCGATCGCACCCTCGCCGTGGGGCAAAATAAACCCCGGCGTCACCCAGCCCTTCGGCCCCATCCCGCGCCGGAGGGGGGGCTCTGCAGGCATGGGGACACCGGTCACCGGGAGGGACCGACTCTGCAAACCTTTACACCGTGGCCAGCGCAGCTTTCGAATTTGCCCCAAACGAGGATGCACGCCACTTTATCATTTACATTGCCCTTCTCCACCCTGCATCCAATTTTCTTTTGAAAAAGCTCACCCCTGCCGAAGCCAAAGCTTTTCTCCCACCACCTAACAGCTCCCAGCAGGACCTTGCAGCTCTTCGAGGCCGGGACCAAGCCCGCGCACCCCATCCCTGGTACACGCAGCCTCCCCGGGCTCCTCTCGCCCTGCCTGACCCCACGCTGTCCCCGAGCCACCCGCAGCCGGGACGACTCATAAATATTCAGCCCCGTAGGACAGCTAATAACCTCCACGCATAACTCGCTAGTCACACGCCATCAACTCCTCAATCCACAGCGGCCCCACTCAGCTCTTACTTAATAATAAATGAATCCCGCTTCGAGTTCAAAACTGACGCTTTGGCTGCTAATAGAATACCGCTGCCAAGTGTAAGGTTTCGCAGCCGAGAAAAATCCAATACAGACTTGTTAACACAATAAAGCAGGGGTTTAATATCGGGTTGCCACTATATTTGATAAATATAACGTGCTTTTGGTTTATAAGCTGCTCCGGGGCTTTCCCTGCTGCTGGAGCTGCCCCCAGGATGCTCGGTATGCAAAGGGCTCCTTCCCCGCCGTCAGACCCCGTCCTGGCAAGATTCATCAGCGTGTAAGCAATAAAACAGCATCCTGCTTCCTCCCTGCCTCCTCCCCAGCCCCCATGGCCAGGCAGAATTGGCCTGGGAAATTAGATGTCTCTAATTAACGACTCAATAAATAGAGATTGATGGAAAAGGTTAATACTGTACCTCATTCCTGCTTTATTAATACTAATCTTGGCTTCTAGAAATCGACCACTACCGCACTTGCAAAGAAATTACATGATGTTTTAAAGAGGCAGCAACTTGTTCGTTAATTATATTTTCAGACTAGGACCGACTCTTGGTTTAAAAGGAGATAAAAAGCCGCTAAGAAGCCATGTCCGTTGTAGCGTGGTACATCTGGGGTTCCTTCCGGAGGGGCTGCGATAACCCGATGGACCCGAGATCCCAGCGCTGCATCCCGAGAGCTCATCGCTGCCCTCCTGAGACGCTTTTCAAACCCCCGCCCAGCCAGCCAGCTCCTCGGGGCCGTGCAAACCTCCCAGGCACCCGGCCGGTGGGGCCCAGCCAGGCGTAGCACCGCTCCCAGGGGTTGCGAGGATCACGGCAATATGTCTAGCAGCTAATTTCTAGAACCCTCAATGGAGGGTTGGTGGCGTGTCGGATGGAGCACCAGGGGACAAGGGGACACCAGCGGGACGTAACGCTTGCCAGGCGCTACAGGAGCCGGGCCAGCTCTCGAAGCCGGCGTAGACCTTCCCTGCCCGAGCTTGCAGACAGGGCAAAGCTGGTGGCCAGTCAGCGAGACATGGAGCCAGCCAGCAGCTCAGCATCTGCCGAAATGCAGCGGAGGGACGGATGGGCGGGTGGACAGAAGCAGCACGGCGTTGCCTTAATGCACCCCGGATGGGAGAGCTACAGCCCTATCGCTGCTCGGTCCCAGCTGCCCCCAACGGCACGGGGGGGACGTTGCCAACATACCAGAAATGCTGCTCTGCCAATTCCCCATCCCCGCGGCCCACCGAAACGCGCTGCCTGGACCATGGTGCATCTCAGACCCGGCCCTGAGCAGCCGGATGGGACGATCTGCTCCCACCACCTAACCGCAGCCTGGGGCGGCCAGCAAGCATCTCGCCCTGACCCGGCCAGAGGTACCAACCACTCTCATCTCCCCACCTGCAGAAGAGGGGCAGGGGCTGTCGTCCCCCTATTCCCGGGGGGGGCAAAAAGCAGGGGGACTGCTGAGATGGGGCCATTTGACCTGGCAAAGGCTCTTCCAGGCAGGGAAACACCAGTGCAGAGGCAGGGGACACGCGGTTGTGCGGAGCGGGATACAAGGAGACCATCTGCCAACCCGGGTGGCGCTTTCTGCACGCAAATCCTCTGGAAATTCAGGGAGATTTGGTCCCCTGCGCTGCCTGGGGAGCTCCTGCATCCTTCCAGGCTGGCAGGGACTCCACGGTGCCCCAAGCTGTCCCCTCCCTGTCCCCAAGGCTGGTGCCATCCATTGGACAACGTGCCAAGGATTTCTGCTGCAGCACACACAGTGCCAGCACAGCAGGAACTCACGCCGGCCGGCAATGCCAGGGACCGTTGCACCGAGGAGCCCAAGTCTCTGGCCCCAGCGGAGCAGGGACGGCGGCTGCAGCATCTCCGCAACGCCAGAGGGGAAAAAACCAGCAGCCCTCGCCGCAAAGCCCAGCCCGCAGCACCCCCGGGAGTGGCGCGATGACGGATGGAGTTAAATGGAGCTCTGGGGAAGGCAAACGCACGCGGTGCCTGGATAGCGGCAAACTCCCTCCCGCAGGGACCCAATGGACCACCAAACCACGTCCCGCCAGGAGGGCTGGCAGCCCCATCACCTGCCCCATTAAAAGGCAAATCGAGCAGCGAGCATCCCGCAGCCCCCCCGGTACCCGCCCCATCTCTGCCAGCTAGAAACTACCAGAGGGGCAGAAGGTGTTTTAGCGTCTTCACTGCAGCTGCTGAACTGAAGGCTCACGTGGATTTTCCAAAGCACGGGTCCCACCGGGGGGAATTCCCTTTGCAGAGCGATTGGAGGGGCCAGAGGGGGGGATGCAGGGGCTGGGCTGATGCAGCACGGCGAGTAAAGCAGTATTTGTTTGCAATGGGCTTTTAAAAGTCAAAGGTGTTTAAACAAAGAGCAGGCCAAGAGCTTTCCCCGGGCTCCGAAGGAGGCATCGATGCCCTTCCTCAAATAGCGGAGAGACTTAGTGAAAATGCCAAAGGGAAGGAGGGCAGGAGCACAGGCGGGAGCCGGATTTAGGGAGTTAAAGAGCATGGGGGAGGACATGTGCTCCGCAGGAAATGTCAGGCTGGGATCAGCCATCCCCACCTCGCTGCTCCGGCACAGGGGCGGAAGCGGCTGCTGCACCAGCCCGGTGGCAGCGTGCGGTGGCGGGGCCCCTCTGCCGCCGTCCACTGGCACCGCCACGCCGTGCCACGCCACGCGGGAAGCCCAGGGAAAGCCCATCCACAACGGGTGGATGAGGCCGAGACCCCTCCAGGGCAGGAGCCGGGAACCCCCTGCCTGGGACATGTTGCGCCAAGCAATGGTAATGCGGGGACACTGCCAGTCCCCGAAAGCTGCCCCTCGTTGAAACCACGGTCACATCACCCTCCTCGCTGCCAGCCCTGTCCCCAGGGGCTGCTCTGGACCTGCAAAGCCCAGCCGAAAACCCAGCAGCTACACCCCAGCAGGGCTCATCTCCCATCTCCCCCAGCTCCTGGGATGCAGCTACATTGGAGAAGCCCCCGAGAGATGGCAGGAGCCAGGCAGAGGGGTCTGGGGTCCCCAAATCCCAGGGGTTTGGCAGGACTGGGGTCTTCCTACAGAAGGGTCCTGCCAGGCCAGGATTCCCAGCAGGGACCACCGCTAAATCAGCCCGCTACCATCACCCCAGGCTAAGACCAGGAAGGGAGCCCTTGGGAAGGGGACAGCAGGGGGTTCAGCCTGTGAAATGGGGTTTCACTGTTCCCCCCCAGCTGCTCCGAAAGGGAACGTCCATCTCCCCCACCTTGCTGCTGCCTGTATGCATCCCGCGGGGCAGCACCCTGTGCTGGCAGCGCTCCCCCAAGCTGGCACCAAAGCACCGGTTCCGCGGGAAGAGCCATGTCAGCAGGATACAGTCCCCATTGCACGTGGGGAGGTGAGGCTGGGCCTCTCCTTGGGGGGCGGGGGTGAGGGGCGGGCCAAGCTGGCACCAAAGCACCGGTTCCGCGGGAAGAGCCATGTCAGCAGGGGATACAGTCCATTGCACGTGGGGAGGTGAGGCTGGGCCTCTCCTTGGGGGGGCGGGTGAGGGGCGGGCACACATGTAGAGAAGAGCCCCCCCAATTCTCGGGCCAGACGCCACCAACAGCGGCCCC